AGAGACAGGCTAAACGCAATTCACAATGATTGTTATTCTTCTCGCAAGCCTTCTTCGCATGTTCCAAAAGACTTTGCGCCATCTGATTACCCGTCTTCTCCACCATTTGTGAAAAATACCCGTCCAATTTGTTATGCAACAACTCAAATGGACAACCGAATTCCTGTTACATATTTGATAATTAAATGCACATATAAAAAATCAGGATCACTTCCTAAGAAAATTAAATATTCTAAAAAAAAATTTGGATATTTTTGATAAATGTATAAAACATTGATTCTTTTTAGGAAGAAATATGTATTGTCCAATAAAATATTGATTTCATAGAAACGGCATTATTAGTTATTAATGAGAATTTGAAACTTTAAAAAAATTTTTATTCTTTGTTGTATTTTACTACAACCTTATTTGTTTACTTTTATTTTAACTTCTTGAAAAGCCTAATTATAAAAATTTAAATATAGAATGTCCATTTAAGATGATACTTATCCTTCTTTATTCTTGTTAAATATTAATGTATAAATGTTCTTATTGCACTTATTATGCTATCAATTAAAAGTAAAATTTAATATGTGAATAAATTAGGTAAACATTTACATAAAAAATCGTATTTTTATTTCTGATTCCTAAAATCAATAATTTTCTTAATATATTTATGCTTCAGTAAACTGAGAAACTTACCACAATGGAACCATTGTCCATCACGATAATCCGATCACTGTCTATAATGGTATTCAAACGATGTGCTACCGTGATGACAGTGCATTCTTTAAAATTGCATCTTATTGTATTCTGAATTAAGGCATCAGTGCTAGAAACAAAAATAGGAAATTAGAATAAATTCAGAAAATAATGCGTTTCTGATAACATCTTACAAATACAAAATATAGATTATTACTAAAAATTTGATTTAAAACAATTTGAAAAGATCTGCTTCTTTCCTTAATCTTAAATATATTACAATAATATGAATATTTAATGAATTTCTCCAAATTATAAAGATATCAAATTATTTAAACAATTAATGACAAAATAATAAAAGTTTGACT